GTCACGAAGCAGGCTACAAATGCAATTAAAAGTGCTATTCAGACATGGAACAAATAGAACACATCAAATACATAGGCTTTATAATCACACTACACATTACTTCACAAGAAATAGTTTTATATTCAGATTTATGCTTCCTTCATAAGCAATAAATCTGTTATCCTTTTCCAAAGTGCTTAGGGCAGTCACTCCAGTTGCATTATGAGGAGAAGGTATGGAAGAGGCTAAAAAATGCAAACAATTTTAATCTTTTATTGCACAAAGGGAATAAAAAAACAAATCCACAAGAAAACACATTAGCCTTCTTCAATCTGTTGCCTTTCTAGTGTATCAGGATAGAATCTACTGGAATTTTCAGTTCATATAAATCCACCCATAAACTAAAAATATATCTGATGTTCTAACAACACTGCTAGTCATGTTGTGTTAGTGTATTAACAAGGTCCACTTGAGAGTTGGAGGATGGGGGACAAATCCAGATTTCATACCAAATAGTTAATAGCACAGATTTCCACTTTTTGAAGAGGGCTGTATATAACCACTTCTAGCACAAGGATGAGAGCCAGTCTGGTGTAGTGGTTAAAGCCACAGGACTAGAAGCTGCCAGTGACCATGAGTTATAGTCCTGCCTTAGGCACAAAAGCCAGCTGGATGACTTTGGGTCTGTCACTCCATCTCTGCCCTAGGGAGAAGGCAAAGGCAAACCACTTCCACAAATATTCCAACAAAACTGCGTGGACTTCTCCATGTAGTTGCCAAGAGTCAAGGCTAACATGAAAGAACAAAGAAAAGAAAAGAGCACCAGGATGGAGGACAGAGTCTTGCGTGTATCCCCTATTTTGACTTGTGGGCCCAGGAGAAAAAGGGTCTATACGCTAACAACTGTAGACACCTCAGAAAAGCTTAACAATAACATTCCATTGTAGGTAAATAATTGCTTGCTTATCACATTAAATGGGTGCTATGTCTATATTTTACTACCTAAGCCTTTAGTCCCCAATTGCTTCTAGGGCAGTTTTCAGTTAAAATCATCATCATCACTATTTAATAAAAATCTCTGAAAAAGCAGAAAAAAATGAAACAAAATATGCCAAATTTTAAAAATCCTTGCCTTAAGAAGTAAAGGTTAGCTAAATACCGACACTCTGAATTGAGCTTGAAACGTAATTAGGGATATTTCAAAAATAAGTGAGAAATGGTTCTAGTTCTTGGTCCCTGATAACAGCCTATTCTGAACTAACTGAAATGTCCAGATTATGTCCAAAGGAAGTCCTATATTACAGCTCATTACAATACTTAACAATTAGATATCATATAGACATAATGGACAGGATCAACACAAAGACTTCTTCCAGATGGGCCTACTGATGATTATTATGAACATTTCATCATTACCATTTAGCTATCAGCCCATTTTTAATTTCTCTTTTGTTTGGTTTTGCTCTGAGTGACAGAGTAGGGAAAAAAGAACAGCAATTCAGCAAAAATGCAGATGCAAACACATTAATTATTGGGAACAAGTATCCAAAAATATTCTATAGTTGACCATTCTAAAAATTGCTCTATGCTTTCCTCTACCTATCTGTCCATTTTTTCCCATCTGGAATAAAAGAAAGAGTTTCCTGAGTATGTAGTGCGTAATATGCCTGCAAACCTACATTTTTTTTCCTCCAAACTATTCCTCTATGTCCTTATCACTACACTATTCTGAGAAAGAAAAAGAGCAAACTGAAACAATTGGCAGCTTGCTTGCAGATAATCTCCAAACGATTACTTTCTAAGGGCAGTGATTCCTTTACACATTAACATTCTTTAACTGTCCTTCTGAATCAAGTTATTAAAGTTTTCATAGTAAATTAGAGCGTCAAGCCCCTTAACTGAAGAGCACAATCAAAGAAGCAAAATTCACACAGACTTTCTTTAATGAGTTTAATGCCAAGAACTAGGGGTGAGAGTACAAAATCTTGAGAGCTGAAATAGAAACCCACCAGCTCTCCTTTATTAGTGAGTTCATTAAAGCAGGACCTCTTGGGAGCTTCTGAATTTTCTCTCAGTCTGCCTGCACAATGGGCTATGAATCTGCTTCTTTTATAAACCAGCAATGACCTCTTCAATTAATTGTTTCTGTCCAGATATATTCCTCCTTCTCTCAACTTCAGCACAATTTCTCACATAGAATTTCTAACTGTCGTTCTGAGCAAAGCCAATGGATAGGAACATTTTGAAATTCCAGAATTTCAAATTTAATTCTGTTTTTAAAGGAACATGCCTAAGTCCACAAAACGTTCATGTGCATGTTTGCAATGATTTGTTTGGCAGACTGAATGTAGACGCTGGGGAAGGAAGAGAAATTGACAAATCAAATAGGATACTGGGTATCATGATGAAGAGAATGGCATAACATGAGAGGAACTTCATGTCTGAATGCAGCCTAAGTTATCAGAAATTAGATCCTACTAGGTAAAGTTAGCTCACATTAAAATTAAGAGAAATGAGGTTCAACTAGCTATATCAGGCTCCATCTCAGTCTATCATGCTAAATTACTTGTTCATAAAACCTACAAGTACATGGATTTTATGTAAGGCAGTGACATTATAAAATGTGATTTAATTTTCTGCAAACATAATTTAACATACAGCTGTGATCACTTGATTCAGGTATTTTTACTCCTCTGACACCCACCTACTATTATGCATAAATCTTTCAAAGGATATGCCATACTGAGAGCAATTTTCATGTTCAAGTGCTCATTCTAAGTTTTTTTTTTAATTAAATACAGTCTATATCAATGCCTGTTAATAGTTTATGGAAAAAAATAGCTTGTCAGCATGCATATATTAAACAGGAAAATAGAAATACTTTTAATTACAAATTGCAAACAGTGAAGATGTGAGAGAATACGAGAAGGCCGTGTGTACCTGGAATACAGAGACATTTATAACTTGTTCCAACACTGCGACAAATGCCATGAGCACAAGGATTCAGAGCACAGAAGTCAATCAGGTGGGCACAGGTAGGTCCTGTAAAACCTGGACTGCAGCTGCAAGAATAGGAGAGTCGATCTGTATAACAGGTTCCATTGTTCTTACAAGGAAATGAAGCACAGTAATCAACTTTGTCTGCACAGGTTGGTCCCAGGAATCCTAAAAAGAAGACACAAATGGGCCTGATTTGTAGGCTTTCTCCAAATTCCAGGCAAGTATTTGTTTTACAGTTATTTAAGCAGAATGTTATGAATAAAATTATCCTAAAACACAACTGATACATAATGAGATAGAGATATTTGCCAATATGAATGGAGGTTATATTACTGAACACTCCCTCTCTTCAAAGACATTTGGTGCCTCTGGTAAGGAAAGGTTTTTGAAAATATTTGCAGAATATGACACACCATGCTGTTCTGTTCTCATAAGAAATATATATGAATCCCATTCAACAATCAGTTTAATTCTTACCATGCCACTGTTTCTTAATTTTCTAAAATAAGCTTACTATTTCATTACAAGGACAAGCTAAAAGAGTAGTTTAATCAAGTTACGGTAGAAATGGAAATAAAGATTTTTTTGGTTCAAAACAGATGCTGGTTGCTTGAAATGATGAGATGGTCAGATAGTAGTAAGGAATGGCAAAGTAAAAAGGGCTGTAATTTTCAGCTGCTCTAACAGGCTATAATTCCTAGTTACTGCATCTTCTAAATGGAATATCCTCTACAAATCTAGTTCCTGCAGGGAATTCTGGGAACTCTTTGAATCAGGTTACACCCAGGTTTAGCTAAGCACCAGAGGATTTTAGAAGTTAAGTGAATGTGAAGTAGGATGATTGGCCACCAATCATTAATTGACATTAATAGGACAGTGATGCTAGGCATGGAGAATAAATTTAAAGGATTGGAGTGACATGAAGAATAACACAAGGCATATGGGTGGAACACATACCCATCACTTCCATATAAAATTATACAGCAGTGTTAGCAGTTCTCATATCTAAGAAAATCCTCAAGTTATCCTTATATCTGCATTTTATTGTAAACCACCCAGAGTTGTTCCTTGAGTGAGATGGGCGGTGACTAAATTTGAAATATAAACAAACAAACAAACAAACAAATATAAATATATCTGTTACTATAAAAGGCATTTTTTCAAAACTGCTCCTGAAGCACAAGATGGAAATTATCAAGTTCTTCCTGATTTACCCATTTAATAGTTACAACTCATTATAATGATGATATAAATTTATCATCATTATAAATTTAAATTTATAAATGTATAGATGTATTTTAAAATTAAAATACATCTATTTTCATGATAAGCCCTATAAAGCAGATTAGGGAGAGGGATAGACTGTGGGCTACCCCTTGGAGACAGAGCTCCTTCAGGCCAACTGATCCATTACAAGTGAAGGCCATGGGGCAAATGCTAATTTATAGTATCCTTAACAAAACTCAACAGAGTAGGCTTCCAATTAGGGACACATCCTTATAGAATGGTCATAAAGATGTTTTCACAAATACAGAAAAATATTCTCCAAAGAATCAAACCCAGAGATATTCCCAAAGAGATTTCTTCCTTCCAACTCCTTTCTCATCCTATTAACTGCCCCATGCACTGTCTCAACCATATTTAATAAGGGTGTGTGCCATTAGTTGTATGATAGATGGAAAACAATTTTAAAATGTAAGTTATATTTAAAGCCTCAGCCTCGGTTAGCTTCAAAGTGACACAGAACTACAGAAATGAAAAAGGAAAGCTGAATGAAACACAGCTATTTTCATCCATACAGTATATTATACAGCTGAAAAATGTATTCAACAGGAATTACGGAAATCTGTAAGCAGGAGTTGCTTAATATGAAACATATCTTTCTGGATTATTTATCACACTATTTCTAGTATCCTAATGTGTCTTCTTTAATTGCTTCAGAATTTTACTTTCTACTTTTCCTCAGGCTCAAAATAGTGGCTTGCAACCTATTGATCTTAGCTTTATGATACATACAAATTTTTCATGCTCTAAGAATCCTTTATTAGCCCTTGTTTATTATTGTCTCTGATTGTACATTTTATGTTCCAATTAAGCAATTGGCCAAAACACAAAACCCTCAGTAGGACTTACTTTTTTTCCCAAACAACACAGCACTAGGGACTAATCCTTGAATTAAAGGGAATATCCTGCATTTCTTAAGGCATGGATAATTTCTATTATCAAGGCTATTATCAAGAAGGCAGGATTTGGGAGGTATCAGGTATTTTAGACTTACAAATATCAAGTTAATCACCAATCCCTTTCATCCCTCTGGAAAGTGGAAAATGCTAGTGATGCTTTCTGTTGTTGTTTAGTCGTTAAGTCGTGTCCGACTCTTCTTGACCCCATGAACCATATTGCG